CCACCATCACTTATTATGGCTCGAGGGATTCCAAATCGACTCAAAATATTTTCTTTCAAAAACTTTATCACTATTTTGTGATCATTGTTTTGATTTGAAATTGCATCTATCCATTTTGAAACATAATCTACTATGACTAATATACACAAAGAACTAAATGATGGAGGAAATGGACCTATGAAATCTATACCCCAATAGTCAAAGATCTTAATAACAAAAATAGGATTTAAACTCTCTTTTCTAAGTTTGGCCATCTCTTTGCCTTTGCAATTTAAGTTCTTAAAGTCATCAATTAATCCTTTCATTTATGTGATAGGCCTGCATTTAAAATGAATATTTACCATAAATTAAAGGTATCTTATATTATTAGATATCTTATTATAAAACATGCTTTAGTTAAGGAGTTATTGATACTTCAAGTGCAAAATGATGATATAAAACCTTGATAAAAATACACTTTTAAGTATCAATCAGTTCTAATCGGATTATAAATTGTAAACATGATTACATTAGTTATCTTATTTGAATAATGTTAATACTTGTAAGTATTGTGTCCGTTCAAGAACTTTCTTTTATCTTGGGTACTCTCCAATGAGCTGGCAATTGTCATGAAACAAGAAAATTGACAATATTATCAATCCAAGGCATTGTAGAGATAGAAAGCAAAAATTCATCTAATAAATCTAGAGTAACCATTTAACAAGCAAACTATTAAAAGTGAATAAGATAACAATTACAAAACATGTTGGCATTAACATTTGCGGTGTCTTTCTTATCTTTGATTGTGATATCAAATTCTTGAAGTAACAAAATCCACCGCACCAATCTAGCTTTAGAATAAACAAGATGAGAGCATAAATAAGATTTAAGAACATAAATAAAATATAAGTTAACTAAATTAAAGAAAACAAATAAAAAGTATAAATAAGAGATTAATGAAAGCAAAACTTAAACATTACAAAAATATGAAGAGAAAGAGCAAGAACATGATCTAGATCTGAAAAGCGACATGCCTAAATGCATGGAAAATACCTCATTTTATAGGTCAAAATTGAAAACTATTGATTGATGACTGATTATTGAGTGGATAACCAATTCTTGACTTAGTGACAATCCTTATCTTCTTATCTATCAAAAATATCATTACCACCATCAGAATTTGAATAGAATTAAATCATGAAAGTTCCAGGAAACTGTGTCATCTTTCTAACAAAAAAAATTGAGGTCATTTGGACTTTAAAACTCAAGAAATGAGCTGAACACTAAACAATATCTGGGTTGCAGGACAAATTTAGACTCTTATGGGTTGAACACTGAATAGTATTTGGGCTATAGGAAAGATTCAAACTTCTCTATTGTTGCTAAGATTTAGACTTCGAAACAGTAGAATTGAGTCTTGCCTTCCGCATAAATAATCCAAGATCTACAGCTTCAGATATGATCGAATGACTTAATGGTGTTCCAGTTT